AAGTATTTCCACCATCATCATTATTCTATTTATGTGGAAGAATAATAATACCTGCATTTGTTACTCTAAATATATTCAATAAAGCTAAGCTTGTATGAGTAAAAAATTAAAGAAACTCGAGAAAAGTTGATGAAATATCATTTATTATTTGTATCTAATAAAATGGTTTCTTTGAATAAGTAAACCTGGCTTTGAATACTATAGACTTTGACAACGCATGGTCGTTATTTCCCTGAGGAACATGAGCTTTTGTTGATAGAGACATCTTGAACATAAAGACGAAATACTTTAACAAGAATACCTTTTAAGTTTTTCCTTCATAATCTTGTACTGCTCTTACCAGATCCAACAAAATTTTTAACATTTATATACTTTTAAATCAAACAGCACGATTTCACATTGTTTAAAGCATTGTATTTTATCTTATTAGTTAAAAATAAAATGACGGTTACAGAGTTTTAATAACTCTTCAAAGGAAATAATATGCAACTTTCAAAACCTGTTGATAAAAAATAATATAATTTTGTATGCAAATAATATTTACAGATTATTCCAATATCTCCTTTATGCTTATTGTGACACACAATTTTAAACCCAATGGATTTATTTGCTAAATAAATATTGTAAATAATGTTGACTTTTTATCCTTATTAAAAATAGTTCTATGCTAGTTTAATTTCGATCCATTCTTTTTGGGACACACATTATAATTAATAGGAATCAAATCGATGCAACGATGTTGAGAATATCTTGATAAGCAATGTCATATCAACCACCAATTTAAAAACATCTGTTTTTTTAGCCTATTTATTAATGATGTGGAATTGCGATGTGCTGGCTTCGGATAATGGAACAGGACTAAAAGCTTTTAGAGAAGTGTTGAGTTACTTGGTTGAATACCAAGTAAATTAAAATGTTTATATTCGACACCAAATACAATTAAACACATCTAAACTTCCTTGCGAAACATCTTATTACTTTACTTTAATTTTAAAATTTACTTATATTTATTTTTAATATATTTTATTATATTTTTTTTATTATATTTATTTATTATATTTTTTTATATTTAAGGTTTACTTATATTTTAAAATTTAAATAATAATAAATAATTAATCATAATAAAGATATAAATTACGTATTTAATTGCCAATAAACATGCTATTGAGTATATATTTTTATACTTTATTATATACATTCCATATTTGATTAGTCACATTCCGTTTATTCTTTAGTGTAAACAATAACTAGCTAGAATTTTTATGTAATTAAAAAGTTAATGAAAGCAATTACGATATTTAGCAATGCTTTCAATTTGCTATTCAAAGACGGGTTTAGTCCAACAATGAACGACTGAAATTAGAACATATAATTGCTTGGTCGAGTTCCAAATTAAAACAATGTCATTCTCTAGCAGGATTTGAGAGCGCTGCCAATGCGCCACCGGCACAAGCGGGCGCTTGTGCGATCGAATCACACATTGTCTTCATTTAATAGCATAATACTTCAGGAGTTTCACCTTAACCTAATGGACATTAATGAGGAAACAGAAATGTAGCTATGCAGCCAGTTGTTTATTTTGTTATTAGAATATGTTTAAACAAATCATCGATGAACATTTAAGACTGTGACAAAAAAACAAGAGCATTTAAAAAATAATTGTTATGCATGTAGTTTTTCTGGATAAAATCCATGAATTTACTGTTTGCATTAACCTTATATATAATACGTGAAGGCAACTTCTACGAAACACTACTTCTAATGGACGGATTTTTACAAACGACGTGTCAAAATAAAGTATTTTTTGTGAACACGCCCCCTTCCACAAATTCCTATAGTAAAAATCCTCGGGCTTTGCCCCACAGGCCATCAAAGTTGGAGTTTCTCCCATAAGATTAACATGTGGTAATCTAAATATTTAATAGGAAACTTTGTCCTCACTAATTTGAGAGAACGGCTGGGCGTAGAAACTTGGTAGAGGTGTCCAAAGAAAGGTCTTAGTCTGTAGATGAGTTATCAAAAGAAAAACTAATCAAAATCCCTTAGGACTCTGCCCCAGAAGCCTTTAAAGATCCCTCCACAAAGTTGTTTACATTTTGGCAGTGTGAATAATACTTTTTAATGAAACAGCTGTTCATTTTTAAATTGTATTTCAAACAACACACATTTTTATTGGGAGTTACTTAATTCTACCAAATAAGTATTTGCAATATTATTTTCTTATTTTAAAATTGTTTCTTCTTTATCATGTCATGTTTTGCAATATAACGTTCCATTACGAAATCATTGGAAATTCCTTTTATCACAGCAATTCTTAAATGATTTCTTATTGAATTATCTTATATCTAGATTGTACGGGTTGATGTCTGCCTTTTTCACCACTTTTGTCCACATTTTATCATATTATTCTACACATATCAAATATTTATGTAGAAATATCTGCTCTTATCGTGTCTAATAAAATCCAAACATAGAAACTTTGTCTAAAATGGTACCCATCTTGACAAATTATTTGTACCTTCCTATATTAAAGACTTTGGCACAGTAGTTTGGTAACATTATTGAAAATAACACGACATTTTGGCTGTTAAAGATTGTACAAAGAGAAAATACTATCTAAGCAGCTACTGTCATGACAGACAGGTCATATTCCTTTTAAACTGGATCACATAATTCTTTATAAGATACGTTGATTAACAATATTTAAACGTCAATATATACGTAACAGCCAATTTACAATATTTTAGCTTTTTGGAAATGCCCCATTGCTATGTCATTTGCATTATTTGTTATTTGTTATAAACGAGGAGGCCCCTAACAGTACAAGAATAAAAGCCAACTTCACTTCAAGTATTCCACTACACCTAACATTCCGTAGAGAGATTATATTGACAACTTTATGTTATTGATAAGGCTGAGACAACTAACTGACATCCCCTAGGCCCATGTCAAGGAACTCCTGCTTTAACAGTAAACCCACAATCAAAAATTTCTCAAAACTATGATAGGGGGTTCATTCATTGGCACAGAAGTACGATATGAACTGACGCGATGTGGCGAAGGAAAAATCAAACTTACGCTGTAACAGATATACCTCCCTTTGAAGTTAGAATATGTCTTCCCAAAAAAATATTTTCTTTTGAAATAAAATCATATTACACTGATGAAATCACGAAAGTGTTTAACTACAAAATATCCATCAATACGATTTTAATACTATTTAAACGTTCTTCCAAAGGAAGATGTACCATATAACATACTAATAATAACTCCGATGACGTACGGTATGGGGAATATTTTATTCATTGAATGATCATCCTAATTTGGCAACTAACGCAATTAATATCATTATTGTTTTTACACTTATTACTCTTTAAACAATGCTAAATGCTCAAAATATGTATATTTCACCCAATTTATCGCAGTTAGATGAATTAACGTAAGATTTGAAAGGAACCGTTGATTTCGACGGGTTTCACCTAGTTTTAATATTATATGTGATTATATTTATTTTGAGTGGAGAAAACGAATCAATCGGAGCTCATTGAGATCGAGCCTTATGAAAAAGTTGTATTATTATCACGCAACAATAGCTCAACACATTTCAACGAAACATACCAATGTTATTCTAAAATAGCTAACTTCCCTTTAGGGAAATTCGCTAAAACAGTTAAAAGGATTTTAAGGAAATAAATTTCAATTTTATAATCTCCTTAAAAATTCTAACCAGCTTAACATTTTACATTTTTAACCATAGGTTAATGGATTGCCAAGATGGTTGGATTCATATCATATCTTATCTTATCTTATCATCATATCTTAAATGATCTTATATCTTATAACATTATAAATGTGAAAGTTTGTGTGTTTGTTTGTTTGAAGTCCAATCACGCATTAATTACTGGTCGGATTGAAATGAAATTTCGTATAACTCACATTCCCGATTAGACCCTTCTTATCTCAACAGTACTTTCGGGCTCCATCCCAGTGGCTCTGGAGTCTCCCATGTCAACCAAATGAGTATTCATATTTAACAGGAATTCAAGAAATTGTCAACTGTTTCAACTACGCAAGTTGGTTCTATGATATAAAATAGCATTAAAAGTTATAAGATTAACCAAAGTAAACTCAAAGCCAAGTATAACTGCAATAGGCATGTTATACACCCCAACTGCGTACGAAGGACGGGTACTCTGCTAGTAATTATAAAGAAACAACTATACAAACTAAATATGTACAGTGAAAAGAAAATCATATGTGTAAAGACCACTGGTTAAAGAAAACGTCAGTATTTTGAAACTGCCAGTGATCCAATTGGTACATTATTTTACTGATTTTCTTTACGTAACATAAATGAGAACTAAAACAAATATTATTATCAACTGATTTTAACTTACCCCCATTATTTCAAGTAAAGGTTTGTCCAAAGCTAAGAAACACGTTACTTTACCATTGACTTAAACAAGAGCAAGTAAACTGCTCATCCTATTGTCAAATATGAAGCCGTTAGACGAGTGTAACTTGTTGAAAAATTTAAGACCGCTGATGTCGAGTAAATTGTTCACTCCGTAAAGATAAAAAGTAAGGTGCAGTTGGACGCTTTTAACCCCATTTTAAGACATATTATTAGAAGTCTTTTTTTGCCAACCAAAAAAATATTATCTACATTCCACACCATAAGGTGAGAAGTATGTTTTAGGAGTATGTTTAATCAGTTGACGACTTAAGTCTTCACAGCATACTGTTTTTCTATTATATACTCGTGGTTTGAAAACAGATTGGATTCCTTAAGACATCATTGGTTTGCATCTGTGTTCGATCTACTCAATTGGTGGACCTGTGACCCCATGCCTATTTATTATTTTATTTATTAAAAGGTCCAAGAAATAAACAAGTGTACAAACTCCGTAAGAATTTGTATTTTATTATGATGTGACTAACTTTCTGGGTAATTCTTAATGCAATATTATAAAGACAAGTGGTATTTGTTATCCACCTACCAGATCTACGAGGGTACAAACACGAAACACAAGGTTTGTAGGTATCTGAAACAATAAGAACATTATAAGAATATTATAAGAAAATATTTAAACAATATTATATGCATTGCTTTTTCAATAAATGTAATACATTACCCAATAAAACATCACATTTTATACCTCGTGACAGTGGGAACGTGGAATTATTACTTGACCGAGGAGAATATTTCGTTACTTTATATATATATATATATATATATATATATAGGGTGTCTAAAACCACCCGCACTCCTTTAAAACGAGGTAAGCCTTTCTTACAAACAATAAATAATACAGAACTAAATAAATTGGTCACGGTCTACCAAATGGTGATAATTTCAGATCTAAACTCACACCGGAAGTTTCCTTTTTTAAATGTAACACACCAATTTCGACCACAGAATCGGATTTTACGTAAACAATACATAAATTTTGTTTTCTACCTCTAATCCCCTACTAAAAGTCAATAATAATAGGTCATTCATCGGCCAAAGTTACTTGAAAAAATAATAGAGAAAAAAAAATAACAAAGATTACATAAAGACATGAAAAATAGAATAAGCTGTTTATTGTAAAAACTATAGTAATTGAGGAAAAGATATTTGGTAGACCGTGCCCAATTTATTTAGTTCTGTATTATTTGTTGTTTGTAAGAATAGGTTTTCCTCGTTTTTAAAAGGGAGTACGGGTGGTTTTGGACACCATGTAGGCCTATATATGTATAGGTATATATATATATATATATAGGTATATATATATAGGTATATATATATAGGTATATATATATAGGTATATATATATAGGTAAATATATATAGGTATACAGTATGCCAAGATTTGGAATCCAGTCCTTGGTCAAATTTTGAGGATCTAGAAAATAGTATTCCAGTTAAATATTTTAAATCCCCAATTACTTTAGGCAAGGTAATTCTGATTGTGGAACTAAAAAAAAAAATATTTCTTAAATTTAAATATACTAAAGGTTACAATTTGAATTCATATTATATTTTTAAAAATATTTCTTTTCTTTTTGTAGTTTTCGCTTATATATTAGCCTATGTTTTATCACCATGTATTGTAACATGTCAACTTTACATGCAACATGCAGTATGCAGGGTGTCCATGCTTTTTCATAATTATGAATAAATTACATCATACTATGTGACAGTAATTAAATGTTATTAGACTTAGTTTTAAAGCTCTTTTTATGGGGAAGTTTTTATACCTAATGTTACCTTTAACGAAAGTCTGCAATCTAGAATTAAGGCTCACCTATCATGTAGTTTGATACAATACTTTACGAAACACTAATGAATTGACAATCTGAAAATTATGATTTAATTATTATAGCAGCACATATAAAACCCGGCACCTCCCTTTCACTAACTTATTAAAGAATGATTATAATATAATAATTTTTCCTATATTGTAAACAATTCACATTCAACTTCGTTTTCTTGGATGATTTGTTTAAATTTATCGTTAATATAAACTAAAAACAGAAGTATTTTTATTAAGACACAACGATGAACTGAGCTGAAAACATTTTAACAAAGTTGAAAGCGGCTTTGAGCTAAGTTTCGTGAACTTTTGCAGTATTGCTGTCCACCGATCCTGTTCTAATTAAAGAGAAAATTAACTTTGTTAGAAAACTCCATCCATCTAACTAATTATATAAATTCATAATAATAATTATTTGTATATTTAACCATATTCTATCGTCACATAACATATTTATATTATTTAATATTAATTAATTATTAGTTCAAAATTAATTTAGTACTTTGTTTTATGTATCTACTAATGAACACCACAGAATCGGTGTTAAAATAAATTAAGTCAGTAGTTTAATATTATTAATTTATTTATTTTATTTATTTAGCTTATTATTTACAAGATTCATAATTTAAAATGACTTCGGTTGCTTTTAACTTCACGGAAATTAAAAACCTCTCTTACTACTTTTCTTGCTCAAGTCATCAACAAAAAAGTAATCAGTCATGAAAAATTACTATTTTTTCTGCTAATTGACACATAACTGCTACAGTTTACACTTGATTACAGTCGGAACTGGATCCTGAACAAAATCAAACTCGGTTTAAGTAACCCGTGCCATTACTACGTTACCAAACAATGCCCATTCTTATAACTAAGCTGTAGACGTTTACTTTTTGCTTTTTATTCCTATACTTAGTCTATGCGGAAAGCATTATTTTCGTAAAAACTTACGAGTTTGATTTTTCGGCCAGTCTGAACCTAAAAAAATCGTTTTCATAGTTATGTATGTGTGTGTGTGTGAGTTTGTAGCGGCGCACAAGCGAGGTCCTGACAAAAATCTGAAGCGCACTTCCGAAGACTCGCCGCACAAACGAGGTCTTGCACTCGAGACCTCGGATGTATCTGATGGTTTTATCTTGTTATTCTCCAACTTTATCGCCTGTTTAGTATGTTGTGTGTGTGTGTGTTTATTCATGTGGAGATGCAGACCAAACCTGTGATCAGATTTTGAAGAATTTTGGTTTGTTGGTACTATTGATTGATATATTGGTATTCTCTAAATCCCCATAAAATAACGGAAAATGGGTAATTTCAGGAACGGTACCATGGATTTTTATTAAAACTTTAAGTGTTATTGTCAACCGCTTACTCATTATAAGGGTTTTTGATAAACTAATGGGGGAATGTGTGAGGTTGCTTATTTGGTTTATCTATAAAACATATTCTTAATTCGTTTAGTTCATATAGTTCTATAGTTCTTAAGAACCGGAGGTGCAGAGTTCTAAACACACATTACTCTATGAATGGTCGTTTGTATAGCACCCTTTTTTTCTCATACTAGATATAATTTTTTTCCTGCCATGAAGGTTTTTTGTGTCAGGAAATGGGTAATTTCAAACTGTATCCAATAACAACTACGTATCATTAAGGTGTAGTAATTCTAATATGTCTCAGATTTTAATATAAATTTATGTTATAAGCATTTCAATACATTTTAGTGAAATATATTTCAGGCATATCATCTGTAAACTGTTTACGATATAAGCTGTTTGCTTTTAATAGTTCTTATCAAATTTGTCTAATGTATACTACAATAACTGTTAATTCAATTTATATCAAAGACTCCGTTTTATATCCTAGGCAGTATTTCAACACCTTTTCGGTTAAGACATTGTAACTAAGCGAATATACTGTTGTAATCAATGGTGGAATCACTACACAATAAACTAATAAAAATATAGTACTATTAATTAAACCTAAAATAGCTCTAAATTGTTTTGCAAAAAGAATTATTTAATGAATTTTTCATTATTCTAACTCCAACCACAAGAACATTTTGGTAATTTTCAAACTGGGGGAGAAAATCTTGGAACAGAAATGAATTTCCAATTTATAAGTCAAACATCCTGTATATTGTTCAAACCATAACTAATTCCAGTGTTTTTTTGTTTTTTTCTTTCATGGGTACTGTAATAATTTTGTCATTAGGGTACTGTGGTAGTGTTAGGGTAGAAGTTTGTACATATCATAATTAACAGAGATTAAATAAGGCAATATGTCAGTTCTGTATGTCTGTGGGTAATGCATAATTGAATAAGTGCCGTTATTTTGTCAATACGATTTTGAACCAGTATAGTGTGCAATGGTAAGTTGGTACTAAGCTAACTTAATCCAGTGTTTCCACACCGGATAAAACTTTCTAAATAAAACGCTCCCCGTAGGCTTCACTTCAAGGCTTTGTCTAAGTGACTTATACATTTCCCGTCTTATTATAAAATATTCGAATACCAAAAGTATATCTTGTCGGCTGAATACGTGGCATGTGACTTTCATTAATTAAGCATTTTCAAAGCATTAAAAATATCAGATTGTAGTGACAAATATTGAATGTATTTTATTTTGTTTTGCATATCTTAAAAATTAAAACTTTATGTTAATCAATAGCCGTTTCTAATAGTTTCTAGTTTCCACCAACAACAATTAATAATAATAATAATAATAATGTTATTACCTCAGTAGACATTAATTATATAGTAGAGAATTAATCGAATACTAAATAATAATAAATAAATAATCAAATCCAGCACTTTGATTGATAGTCCCCGTCCGTAGAACGGCCCAATTGCTAGTCTTCAATAAATGTTTTACTAAAATAAATTATTTCGCTAAGTTACGTGTTTTGTTTGTATCAAAATATCTTTTCTTAAATAATCCTATCTGAGGTAAGCTGTCCTGACACTGTCGCTTAGATTTCAAATATAACCGAGAAACCCAGAATATGAAAACTGAACATTGATATTTAGTTTTAATAATAAATGTTCAATCGTCACCAGTTTGGATTGCTGTATTGATTAAATGTTTAAAGTTATAAATAGAGTTTAAAGTAGCTGAAAGTTTAATTAAAAATTGAAAAGTTGCTTTTCAAACTGAGTGGTTTTCCAATAAAATGTGCATCAAGTCGCTTGAGTTTTTGTTATCTTAAATAATAGGTTTTTTAAGAGTTATGTTTCATTACTTTATTTTAATTTATTTCAGATTTTCCAAATATATACTTTCCTAGTGTTATGTTAAAATAATAATAGACGGTAAACCCATTATTAATATTATATAACCTAGAAACTTATGAGAACACACTCATTGTGCCTAAGCGTGTCTTAGAGTTGATTTGTTACCACAATAACAACTAGTAAAATATGTAAAGACTAACACTGTGTAGTTTAAGTCACTTGATAAAAACTATACAAAAATAAAAAAAGAATAAATATAAAGTTAATATGAACATTTATTTAAGGCAGCTGTTATTTTTAATAACAATCATTTTTTAATATTTAAAACATGTACATTGTATATTGTATGTACACCCAAATTAATTATTTGTTCACCTCGTTAAAACTAGATTTCATAAACAACCACTGGGGATATCAACATTCAAGGAAACTTTGCAAACAATGCATGCACTGGAGTAAAAAAAAAACCAAAACATAGTTCAATTTGATTAAAATACTTTTAAACTGAAACATAATTAATAGA